TTAATCAAACTCTTTAAAAATATATTTAAACACCCTAACTCACTAATGATAATTAGTTTCAACTAATCCTAAAACCCTACTGTAGTAGTTTATCTTGCACTACTAATAAAAGTTAATTATGGGTCTTACGGCAGCAGCAAGGACCTGTCCAGCCAAAGCCAATAACGCTGCACTTTCCCTCCGTCCCTAACAAAAATTAATTAAAGCAAAACCGTGTCACATCATAGGCTGTATCTTTGGTTGGGTTGGTGTGTACTCGGTGCTCCCTGGTCCTATCTAATTTGACACCCATTTTTTAATGAATACATTTTTTATCCAACAAGGCAACAACTGTCTTCCATCTCACATTCTCACCTCACTGCCTCACTCCCCCTTCCTCGCTCTTTCCCCACTTTCCACACTATAAATTCCAATCCAATCCATGCATTCTCCTCACTCAAACACAACAACAACAATATCAATAGCTCCAAATCCACAAACTCTTCTCTTAACCTTCCTATTTTGATGCTTACATTTCTCAAAATGAGGAGTTCTTGGTTTATGCTTCTTCTACCTCTTGTAGTTGGCTGTTTGATGACAGCTTCCTCCGGCAACTTCCTCAACAATGGCCAGTTTCTCACCCTCTCCCTTGACAAAGCCTCTGGCTCAGGCTTCCAGTCCAAGAATCAATATCTCTTTGGCAAGTTTGATATGTAGCTCAAACTTGTCCCTGGAAACTCTGCTGGCACGGTCACCACCTTCTATGTAAGTCCTCTGCCACAATTCTACCTTTCATTTTCTATAACTATTGCCTTCAGTTAGTTCCTCTAATAAACTATGTATTTGTCTCCAGATGAAGTCACCAGGATCTACATGGGATGAGATTGATTTCGAGTTCTTGGGAAATTTGAGTGGGGATCCTTAAATTCTTCACACTAATGTATTCAGTCAAGGAAAGGGTAACAGAGAACAGCAATTTTATCTCTGGTTCGACCCAAGTGCTGATTTTCACACATATTCCATCCTTTGGAATCCCCAACGCATTATGTAAGTGCCTGATATTACTCCAAAAATCTTTGATTCCCAATTTCCCTTCTCTTTTTGCCTTGTTTGGGAGTTGGATTGACTGAACTCTGTTTTGCTCTGTTTCAGCTTTTCTGTGGATGGCACACCCATCAGAGAATTCAAAACATGGAATCAAAAGGTGTTACTTTCCCCAAGAGCCAACCCATGAGAATCTACTCCAACTTGTGGAATGCTGATGATTGGGCTACAAGGGGCGGCTTGGTCAAGACAGATTGGAGCCAAGCTCCTTTCACTGCTTCTTACAGGAACTTCAATGCTGATGGTTGTGTTTGGTCCAATGGAGCATCTTCTTGCACTTCCACTTCTCCATCTCTGGCCT